GACCGTAGTGTAACAAAATAGTGTATGTCGGATACGTGGAACACCTGTCTCACCGACCTCAGTGTAACAGAAGATTGTATGTCGGATACGTCGAACACCTGTCTCACCGAGCTCGGTGTAACAGAATAGTGTGTGAGGGATACGTCGAACACCTGTCTCATCGACCTTAGTGTAACAAAATAGTGTATGTCGGATACGTCGAACACCTGTCTCACCGAGCTCAGTGTAACAGAATAGTGTGTGGGGGATACGTCGAACACCTGTCTCATCGACCGTAGTGTAACAGAATAGTGCATGTCGGATACGTCGGAACACCTGTCTCACCGAGCTCAGTGTAACAGAATAGTGTATGTCGGATACGTCGGTCACCTGTCTCATCGACCGGAGTGTAACAGAATAGTGCATGTCGGATACGTCGGTCACCTGTCTCACCGAGCTCAGTGTAACAGAATAGTGTATGTCGGATACGTGGAACACCTGGCGAACTGCGTGTTTCCTTGACCCAGAGTGTATGTAACAAACTTGTGACAAAACAATTTGAAAAATGTTCTAGCTTTGTTTTTGTTGTGTATTGTGTTAAAGATTTGGTCGATATACTATTTTTGCTGAAAAATCTTTAAGATTCAAATTTCCTCCCCGGGATGACAAAGACTGTTTTTTTTAAAAAAACGTTTTGTTGTAAATATTCCCCATGCTTAAATACCGCGAAAACGTAAAATTTCTACGACTGTGTGATTTACAATACGGCCATGTTTATCTTCTGTGTCATCATATTGTTGTACATTCATTTTCACAAAGAATTCCTAAGATTCCTACATCGCCGAGTAGATTTACATCTGTCGACATGCGTCTAGATTGTCGTCGATAGCCAGGATATCTATGGTTCCTCCTTGTCTTGTCTTTGTTAAAACTCTTAAAACAGCTCAGCAAGCAGGCTATTAACAATTTATTTATGATATCACGAATTTTTAGACAAAAAAACCTTCATAAACCTTCCAGGTTTAGTTCCTTCAACAATATATATAATTCCTTACTAAACAGCAAAACCAAAAAAATGCACGATTACTGATATTTGATTGTGAAACAAAACTACACAAAACCGCGTGTTTTATTATCTCTGTCTGGAGATACGTGTTCCTACCTCCCACTCCATTCGTAAAAATTATCAAATACATTTCCTTTTCGACAGCACTAGAACAATAAAAGCGTTTTAAAGTTTGCGAGGAAGATGCTGCTAATGTTGTCTACTGATTTGGAATAATCAGGAATAAACCTTTCTAAGAAAACAATAGACTAGCTACAAAAACAAGTAACAAAGCAAAAAACGTTTTACAGGGGACCTATTGTAAATCTTCCTTTGATTAAGTTTCCCACAGTTTCGTGGAATTGAAGTTTGAATTAAGATTGACATGTCGATATGTTGTTTGTTGGAATGATATACTTATAGACATTAAATCCCGCTAAAAGTATAACGTTGACCCACAGAGAACATCCTCTTTTATTATTGTCGATAAAATACAACAAAACACGAATTTTTCCGATATTTGGTAATTTTATCTCGGTTTTTCTTACAAAATATTTCATTATTTACAACCTATGGATGTGCCGTCAATACATTTGTATGTACAAAATGATAGCGAAAATAAACAAAATGGCAATAGGTTCATGGTTGGCTGTAATAATTATAAAACCAGAAATAGTATAGCGTTGGTATTCTAATCGACATTGATGACCTCTTCGACAACACTTGTATGTCCCGTGTGGAAGTGTTCAATGGAGGCTGATCACGCCACCATCCGAAATACAGAAGACGTTTAAAACACACTGTGCAGGGAGTTATCTTTATTTTGCCATTGGAATTGACATACAATGCACAGTCGAGATAAATGACACATGGAAATGCAACACATCTACCATACACGCATCCTTATTACATCAAAGCAGCACCAAAGTAAGACCGGTGTCAGGTAGGGACCTCACCAAAGTAAGACCGGTGTCAGGTAGGGACCTCACCAAAGTACACCAAAGTAAGACCGGTGTCAGGTAGGGACCTCACCAAAGTAAGACCGGTGTCAGGTAGGGACCTCTCCAAAGTAAGACCGGTGTCAGGTAGGGACCTCACCAAAGTAAGACCGGTGTCAGGTAGGGACCTCACCAAATTAAGACCGGTGTCAGGTAGGGAAATCACCAAAGTACACCAAAGTAAGACCGGTGTCAGGTAGGGACCACACCAAAGTACACCAAAGTAAGACTGGTGTCAGGTAGGGACCTCACCAAAGTAAGACCGGTGTCAGGTAGGGACTTAACCAAAGTACACCAAAGTAAGACCGGTGTCAGGTAGGGACCTCTCCAAAGTACACCAAAGTAAGACTGGTGTCAGGTAGGGACCTCACCAAATTAAGACCGGTGTCAGGTAGGGACCTCACCAAAGTAAGACAGGTGTCAGGTAGGGACCTCACCAAAGTACACCAAAGTAAGACCGGTGTCAGGAAGGGACCTCTCCAAAGTAAGACCGGTGTCAGGTAGGGACCTCACCAAAGTACACTAAAGTAAGACGGGTGACAGGTAGGGACCTCTCCAAAGTACACCAAAGTAAGACCGGTGTCAGGTAGGGACCTCACCACTGTAAGACAGGTGTCAGGTAGGGACCACACCAAAGTACACCAAAGTAAGACCGGTGTCAGGTAGGGACCACACCAAAGTACACCAAAGTAAGACCGGTGTCAGGAAGGGACCTCTCCAAAGTACACCAAAGTAAGACCGGTGTCAGGTAGGGACCTCACCAAAGTACACAAAAGTAAGGCCGGTGTCAGGTAGGGACCTCACCAAAGTACACAAAAATAAAACAGGTGTCAGGCAGGAACCTCACCAAATTACACCAAAACGGATCTCACAGTTCTCATCAATAACATATTCGTTAATACAGTCAGGAAACATACTGATAATACGTCTATATTGTCTGAAATCAACGCTATCTTGGCTGTTAAGGCAGGAAGTGTAGACTATTTACTATAAATACTACTTATTGTGTTGACAATCAATGTTTATCCGTACTTGTACAACCTTTCTCGCCCTAGACCCTTTTCGCTCTAACCCGACTTCATGTATACACATAGAAAACTATGTAGGAAAAATCACGTAGTCTTAACCGTACATACGGAACCAAAACGCGACTCTCTGTAGATTCTATTGAATCATATGGTAATTATTTTTGAAACCTATGCAGTGCTTGTAGAATCATTTAGTGATAATATGTAAAACCTAATTAGTTTACACAGATATTCCACTGTAACAACTTTAATATATTTATGTTCAATCACTCTGGTCTTTATTTCACTATAGCGTGTCTTGTGATACGCATACTACATAGAAATTTCTTTCTTTGAACACGGTGTGGGGGTAAACCTGTACCAGATGATCAACCTGTGATGTAGAAGCCACGCCCCTCTGTTGCCTGATCCTTCACCTTGCAGATGAGGCTAAGACGTCATATTACGCTTTAGTCTCACAGACATGGTGAGTATATCAAACAATTAAGCAATATTGGTCCAAATAATTTCAAATTAATTCATTGAAAAAAATCCCGTATGACAAAGTATTTAATGATAAATACCAAAACGTATCAATAGTAAACATCAATACAGTTAAAAATAAGCAAATGTTCCAAATGGCATAATGAGTTATTCTTATACGAAGCAAATAAATCCACGATCAATCACATGTTTCTGTCAACAGTCATACACATACGGCAATCATTTGCACGTGTCGCTCAACATACTCATCATTATACACCGTCAACATTTCACTTCCACAAAATGCGTATGTCTATTCCACATTCATATCTTTCGTACCTTTTTAAATACAAATGTTCAAAGTAGACATACAGTTCAGAACATAAATAAGACAGGGCGCCCTACAAACAAATACATTTTTATAGGTCCACGACTATGTAATGCCATTTCACGGCAGTTCACGAAAGATCCTATAACTCGGAAGTGTCTGTCGTACAAGACACTTCCTTACCACCATCGTTGAGACTAGTGTCTGTTGGACAAGACACTAGCTTACCACCATCGTTGAGACTAGTGTCTGTTGGACAAGACACTAGCTTTCCACCATCGTTGAGACTAGTGTCTGTCGTACAAGACACTTCCTTACCACCATCGTTGAGACTAGTGTCTGTCGTACAAGACACTAGCTTACCACCATCGCTGAGACTAGTGTCTGTCGCACAAGACACTACCTTACTGCAATCGTTTGACAAATTTCTGTCGTACAAGACGCTACCTTACTGCAATCGTTTGACTAATGTCCGTCGTACAAGACACTACCCTAACATTATCGCAGAGACCAGTGTCTGTCGTACAAGACACCTACTTTCCACGATCGTTGTGACTAGTGTCTATGGTGTTAGTCACTACGTCGCCGCCAAGACATCGTCTATCACATTTACCTACTAATATCAAATGGAGACAGCCTTTTTGACATTGGCGTAAGCTTCATTTTAGCATAGTCAATTGTGTCCCACTTATTTTGTTTTAATAAACAAAGCGTTTTAGCAAACAGTTGAGCCCCAAATCTACCAGAACATTTCACTGAATATCAGAAGAACACGGCATAACATGTATAGCGAATGGAACGGCTTTTTTGTGGTACCACAGTTTTCATTGGAGCATTCAGGAAAGTATTCTATCCTTGTAAAACAGGTCCATCTCCCTCATCTCCCTTGCCATCAGAATCAATTATTGATATGTTTTCCCTGCATTTGTGGAGACATAGTATGATTCACAAAACACAAACATTGTACATCCCCCAAAGTAAGTTTATCGGAATCAGTAACGCTGATGTCTTCGACACAACGATTCCTAACACTCACAGAAGGTGCTCTTAAGGTTACATCCACAATCACAATAACAAATATGTTGAGCAGGCCGAATACTTCATTGTTGACATCACCAAATTGTTTATCCTGATAAGCAACAAAATACAGAAGATCAAAATTAATGACACCCACAGCTGGCGGCGACCATGTCGTCATATTGTTTTAAAATAACGTTTTCATCATCATCAAAATAAAGCAGACTTATAGAATACAACTTATTGGGAACACAGCATGGCGTTGAAACGTCCTTCCCAACTTTAAGTGCATGAACTATGCTTTGAACAGTCGCATGGTTCGTTGGTTTTTGACTCTGACCGAGGGGAAAAGGACACGCCCCTTTGCAATGATATGCGTTGTAGCCCTTGGGTGAGATTATCCACCCTGACCAGCCAATTTCGTCAAAATCTACGTACATCTGGTGGCGAGCACAGTTCCTCCGCTGACGTCGATACGGCCGGAAATAATCCAGAGCTCTTTTGTCTTTTCCTTTCTTTTTGTTACGTTTACGTTTCTGTCGCTTTCTTCGTCTTTCCTCTCGACGTCTTTGTTTTCTCAGACGCCTCTCTTCCTTTGTTAATTTCTTTTTTACCTTTTCCATTCCTGATGTACTCGACGTAGTCACACTATCCTGCGCGACACTCCTCCGTCGCCGTGTCTGTTCTGTCGTTCCTAATATCTTCTGCAAATGTTTGTTTCTAAGCTGATCTTCTTCTCGCTCTTTTTCGTTCAAAAGCCGAATTGCTTGACGAAAATCTTTCCCCTTAAACTGTCGCATTCTCTGTCTCTGCTTCTTTAATATGTCCTTTTTAATTTGCATATAATCTGTAAAAATGGAATATGAAATAGTTTATAAGACTTATCAATAACTGTCACTACCCTGTTCACGGTCATGTTGATAAATTTGATAAACATTTTGTCCATTTTACTTTCCTTTATCAACACATTCGTGCGATACACAAAATAGATAATTAAGTAACAATATTTTCAAATGAATTTTCGAGTAAAATTGTATCTTTATCTTGAACCAACTTGCTCTGTAAAATAAATTGGTATTATACATTACACATGAAATCATTTTGAGTGTCAGAGTGCCGATAAAGCATATGTATAACATCAATGACAGACCCATTGACACGTTATGAAGGTCCATCCATCATTTGCCAATTTTTGAAGAGTAGTATCACGCTTATATTAAAATTATTTACATATCTTAATTAAAGAAATTTTAAATCTAGATAATACTGATGAAATATGAAGACTACACTGATGCATGTATACATGAGAGTAAGGTGCTTGTTTATTACTATTTATGTAAAGTTGGATATTGTTGACCCCGTCGGTATCTGGCAATCGTGTAGAAAGGAAAAAGTGTATTGTCAGCTTTAAACAAAGATGATCTTCTTTAAATCAAGCTTAAATCGATTGACATGAACAGGAAATCAATCAGAATTTGTTCGTGTTATTTCAAGAATAAGTATTCAGAAATGGTGGATTCATTTTCATTTAGAAATTATATCCTTCCTTTCAAGAGAGTAGTATGTTTTCGTTTCTATAGTTCATTGCGTGTCTCTTTAAACATATCGCAGTGTTACCCAAAGTACAGGATAATCATTTAATATTAATTTGATCAGTTTAGCACTTGTAACGTAACGCCCATTACAAGAGTCCGCATAAACCTAGTTCCTTGTGATAGGAGGATTGGGAGCCGAACACTTGGCCGAGATAGCCACCTAAATATCAGTGTGCTGTGATATGACGGCGGGGGCGACATCAGAGATGGACCGGTAGATGCCAAGTGTACAACACTGTCTATTCTCGACGTATATTACGAAAACCTATAAAGTGCTTTGCATTAATATCGTGTGAGAAGTAGCTGCCCCGCCGGGCTTTAGATAGCCAGTGTATATAATGTTGACCCCCCGCCTGTTCACGTCAGAGAAAATTAATCCACACAACTTGTAAGTTATACAAGTAAAATGGAGCTATTTTCTTCTGGCTTTGAAGACGATTTATGTGTGTAATATCAGTTTCCAGAACAGAATGTGGAAACGTTAGAATTTCAATTTGTTATCATGTAAAATTTAACAAATGACAGAAAAGATACTAATATCTCTTATTAGTTTTCTTCATTAGAGGAGAAAAAATTCCTGTGATCTTAGCATATTGGCGCGATTATCGAATTCCCCTGGCTTGATGCAATGTGGATATAATACAGTTTTACGACTCGATGGTTGGTGCAAAACGATAGTACTCGTGATGGAATATGTAAATCGAGAGGAGAGATGTCTGCACAATGTCGACTGGGCTCTGTAACATAATCAATTACAAATTGCGTGCAAATGTATATTTTACTTCCTCAATATCGCCTTTGATGCCAAGCGGCAGTCTCGAAAGCTTTAGTTTATGGCGTCGAGAAAGTGTTCCCCCTGATGGGCGTAACGATAAGCCCAGGAGCCATTCAAGATTGCATGCCTAAAGAATACCATGTTCTGATGCGAGGCAGGCACATTTAAATTGGAAAACATCGATAGAAATATTATTTCCATGTCACTTTTAATTTAGCATTGTGCCAAAATTATATCTTTAGACTGAAAAAATCATCATTTGAATTTCTGATTGTGTTATATATTGTGTTTGGGTGAGACTGGAATAAGAGTTGGCAGTTGGCATCCTTTACACTATGTCAGGGGACAATGATACAGACTTGATAACAATACGAAAAAGTCAGTGGGTATCCTAACATCGTTTACGAGTTTTAGACTTCTGCATGGCGTTATTTGATTATTCTCCTGCTAGACTAGATTTTATATGCGGTATCTTGGTCAATGTTGACGTCAATTCTCCTACAGACACATTTATGAATATGCAAAATTACATAAGTATATCGGTACCTTGAACCCAGGCTTTCAATTTGAATACATTTTGTCATGAGAATGTATAACAGATTCTTCCACGGCATAAGATAATGGTGGTATTTATAGACAGCATACTCTAAACAGATATTAAATTTAGTTATAATGGTTGATATTGTCGCTTTAGCAATAGCGTTACTTTAATGGCGATATATGGTTTTACTCATTACCTGATTTATATTTCACTGGCAACAATATATCCAAGGATTTCATTTCTGTTGTGGTGACGTTATCCGGCTAAATGTCATATATGTTTCACGAAAATGACATAACATCTGTATAAAATATACTATTCTAACATATTCTGTCATTCTCGTAAAATATTTAATCATATTTCACGGAAAACCATTGAATTTTCTTTTTTATCACATTTTAAAAGGAAAAACAAGTGTAGAATAAACGAGTTATATAAATGTTCGTTAAATATTTACACGTTTTTTGACGTTGCTAGTTTAACATTACGATTGACAACAAGACGAAGACATTTTGAATTGGCCAATTGCGTGGTATTTTACAATTGTACGATGTTATATGGTATGAACAGTTTACAATATTGTTTATCAATACTAAGAGAAAACTCGAAATGTACACCGAAAAGACCTGATGGAAAACTGAATTATTCAAAATTCACTTCATCTGCGTCCGAATAGGAAAAAAATAGCGAATGTCAATGCAGCGACTAGAAATTACCGATTTGATTGGTAAAATATACAAAACTCAATTGAAAGATATTTTATCAACACTGCAGTTCGTATCAAAGATATCACACAATTATTAACTTTTTGAGCAGAATACAATTATCTATCTATTTCCTTTATAGGTAGATACCCCAAAAAATCCAACAATTAATTGATTATATGACAACGACTTGGTTTTTCGTTTTCTTATTTCGAGTAACGACGTCGTGTTCACCTGTCGACATTTGTTCGGAGTAAACATTGAGATCATTTTCATATAAATAAGAGCGAAAAGTTTTCACCGCTAAACCAGTAGCTTTCCAGGTATTCTCGAAATCCTTCTCAGTCAATAGTTGTTTGAATTTAACCTCATCAAAGGTGGCAACCCCATTTTTAAGCTACCCTGGATGATCGTCCGTCCGTCTTCGACATTGCTTACGTCTGCTAATAACAGCAACCCGAAGCGTAAAAGAAAGCGACGTTCTGATTGGACGTTCAGGCGATCAAATATTGGAGATACCGTTGTTACTATCTAATGGTACGACTGAATTGTTACATTTACCTGCTGGGAGCATGCGAGGTAAAGAAAATTATTTCTTCAGCTGAGCATATTGGAAAAGAGTCAATCAGTGACCAGGAAAGTCGCAAGTCTTATGATAAAGTCCTATATTTCACTTTACAAAATTCAATATTGGGTTTCATTACATAATATACTTGTTATCCACAGTGTTTTCCTGTAAAATATTTTAGGGTATATGACACTAGTGCAGTATGTAATATTACTTCGAGCGTTTTTCATTGGCTGCTTCAAACACAAATCGAATGTGATATTATAATTTGGACAAAGGCTTTACGTTACGAATTGAAAATGGGCAACGATATGGTTGGTTTCCTTTGATTTTGTACTCCACATTTTAGCTGTAACACCTACCAAAACGTAACTATTATATCGTGTAATAATAAATATCTTAAATTTGTTTTCACTTCATTTGAATTTTTTAAAAGTTTAAATCAGAAAAAAAATTCAAAGACTCGTTTCATAAAATTTCATATGAAATGAAAACACATTTAGATTCTATATCTATTCTGTTGTAGTCACGTTATGAGGATAATCTTTCCGTTATAGTGACGTTGTAAAGGGGCTTATAGTAAAGTTGAACAGATGTTTAAATTTGTCACCACAATTGTTGTAATGTGTCAGAAACAAAGCTTACTTTCATCTGTAGGTGAGATGTAGCTTGGATGACGTGTCATGCCGTCATCTGTGTACGCAACCAAGATTGGTTGTTTGCTCTCGTGATGTTCCTTTCGTTGAGCGAAGCGTACGTAACTTCCGTTCACGTGTCGTCCACTTGGAGAGGTTGTCGTTACTAAAAATCCTGAAATGTCAATAAAATAATCAAATATTTATATCATCTATGTAAGCATCTAAAACAGATAACTGCTTTGTTTAAACAAAATTATTGGATTCAAAGTCCTTATTTTTGTTGCGACTCTTAAACACTTTAAATGATCTTTAATAGCTGATGATGATTTATATGTAAGAAAAATACACATACATTAAAATGCTTTATGATATCATAATTATCTGGTAATTTCCAGGTTGTTAAATATTGACAACTCATTTCTCTGACGCTTGTCTTAGACGTAATCATAATGATATCTATATATATATATCTGATAACGACCTTGTCAAGGAGATTTGTCTCATTCTTATCAATAATGACGTATTTTTTATATTAGAATGTAAATGACCCCAGAACTACTGCTGTGTCGACGTGTTTTTGTCCTCTCCTTTATGTATGGTCCAGCTGGGGACGTAGTGGCATTATCCAAAACGTTAAGCAATCAGAGTTTTTCATCAAGGGACCAACTATCGTAAGAACCCTGTCAGTTAATCGGATTATGGATTTCAAGATACTTATGAATTCCGTGGAAAATTGTACAAGAGAGTGGGTAAAACGAAAACGAGTACCGTGTTGCACTTTCAGAGTAGATAAAACCCATTCGGTCAATCATTTTTGAAAGAATTAGTAATTTGAAATCTCATTTTTATCATAATTGTATACTCCTGGATCCTGTTGTTAAATACATACTCCACGATTTACATGACAGCATGTTATTGTATCAGCAGATAAGGCGTCCTTGTCTACAGACATTATAACAATCCTTGTCTACAGACATTATAAAAATTTCGCCATATAAAAAGAAAAGAGCTTACTCTATAACGAAGGAAACCCGAGCTACACATTATCCAATCTTTCCATAGAAAAATGCTAGCTGAGCATTCTTCAGTATTAAAATCATTCAGATTGCCTATAAATGCCGACCTCCCTCGTTTATATTGGATTTCGAAACTTCACAAGAATAGATATAAACAACTTTTATTGCTCGCCTGTCGAGTTGTTCAACCAAAATGTTATTAAAAGCTATTATTCTTAGTACTATCAGTCTATCCAATAGGGGTTACAGTCTTAGTGCGATACTGTCAACGCAAAAAATGGAATTAATGATTTGTGGATTTCAAAGTACACGAACGGAGCTTTTTTTACCAATCTTGAACGTCATTCCACTACGCATCTCATTCCAAATTGAAGGAACCCGTTGATCTCCTGCTATAGGAGTTATTTTTTCCAAAGAGAAGGGAAAGGCAGTACAAATGTGTGGTTGTTGTACAAAGGGCACCCAAGTTCGTGAAAAGAAGAGAAATTAAGGGAGGAAGGACCGAAACAAATGAACAAATTACTGATTGACAACATCTCCGTCGAGTTAAGTGTTAAATATTCCAACAAACTGAGGGCATACCCCTGGTATGATTATTTTTCTATTTCTGGATAGCAACAACCTTGTATCCCCAAACAATAGTGTTCACATGTTAATTATTAAGAATAAAAGGGTTTTTCCCCAATATCACGATAAGATATGTTTATATGTTGGTATTTTTTTTATAATTTCATTCCACTTGAGTTTTTCAGGAGTTTCCGTATAAATATTTCTTTTGTTCTTATTTTGGCCTAGTCTCGTTGACTTTCAATCTGATTTCAGATTCTGTTGATACATCAGCGTTTCTATGCCGTTTTGATGACGACCCAGACACGGAATATTATTTATAATTATCTGTTAATATCCTTGCTGACGACCCTCTTAGGAGACTTGTTAATGAAGGAGAAAATTAACGTATGTACAATCAGTTACATTGAAATATTTAGGCCAGCATGAAAACAGCACAATAAACCAACATAGAAAAAAAGCTTAAATTGACAGAAAAAATGTGAATAGACAGTGAGGTAATGTCCATACCATGATTCGTCTTATTGGAGTTGTTTATAGTGATAAATTTCGTGATTACATGAGCACTGTCGAGCTGGTCGTATTATGGAAAGTCAAGGAAAGGACAGTCAACAGTTCCAGGTGTACGGGGATCCACGTCAGGTGTGCGGCCCTCCCCAACCTTTCATTGTGTAACCCCTGTACACCTTCACAGAGCTAAAGTCTCATACATTTGTCATTTTAGTTAATTAAACTTCCATGGAATCGGGATTCTAAACCGGTATTTTGTCTGGTTCCGTGCATTGTCGAAATGTCAATTTGTCAAGTAGCACAGTGGGTTCCCTATACACACAAAGGCAAGCCTTAAAATCCAGCTACCGAAAGCCTTCGTCGTTCTTATCATAAAGCATGCGTTTAAGATGAAACATCATTACTTTGGCGAAATTTATCCATTTGACGTTATTTTCTATAAACAAATTAGCCACACTGACAGCAATGCCTGGCTCATCCAGGTGTGTTATATGGCGGACTGTCCAGAATACCATGAACTCCATAACTGAGAGCAATGTCTGGCTCATCCAGGTGTGTTATATGGAGAACTGACCAGAATACCATGAGCTCCATCACTGAGAGCAATGTCTGGCTCATCCAGGTGTGTTATCAGGAGACCTGTCCAAAATGCCATGAGCTCCATCACTGAGAGCAATGTCTGGCTCATCCAGGTGTGTTATCAGGAGACCTGTCCAGAATACCATGAGCTCCATCACTGACAGCAATGTCTAGCTCATCCAGGTGTGTTATATATGGAGGACTGTCCAGAATACCATGAGCACCATCACTGAGAGCAATGCCTGGCTCATCCAGGTGTGTTATATATGGAGGACTGTCCAAAATACCATGAACTCCATCACTGAGAGCAATGCCTGGCTCATCCAGGTGTGTTATATATGGAGGACTGTCCAGAATACCATGAGCTCCATCACTGAGAGCAATGTCTGGCTGATCCATGTGTTTTATTTATGGACAACTGTCCGGATACTATGAGCATAGACTTATACATTAACAGTAAAGCATTGGTATTTACTGATACGTTCAATAGGAAACACAGAAACGCAACGGCAATATTCAAACCTAATAGCACACCGATGACATCACGTGCCGTGATAAAGGAAATTCGAAACACTTTATCAGTGTATTTGATATGTTCGCCGGAATACCCGTACACCCCTCCCACCCATGACGTCATTGTTCAAGTTGTTGATTTAGTTAGTGTTACTTTTCTCTACATTTATCGCTAATCGAAGTGATTATGTATCCATACATTTACAAATTTACGGAGTTTCTCGCGTACCAGTAGCAGTACACACACTTTACGCTTTAGGAATCATTTTACGGCACGTCTCAAGGTCAAAGGTGACATCAGACTTATCTGACACGTTTTAACACTAACACGGTACTAACCTACGGTTCCCGTGAAACATTTAGATGAAGTGTGTTTGGTTCCAAAAACAATTTATTCTTGCGATGTTTTAATCTGACAATTTTCTGCTGTAGACCACCTAATCTTTATGTGTTTGGTACATTTAACCAGCCCCTATTTTCCGCCCATCGATGTGCAGGTTGGATTTTCACCCATGCGCGTAGTGACCATGAACCGTACAATAGCAATCAATTACACAACTTCCGCTCAAAGATTTCCGGTGAAAGATAACTCTAAGTTTTAATATCATTCATTTTCTGGGTACTTAATCTTTAATCGAGTCGTAAAGGATGACATAGTCATACTCCTCACAGGAAATGTATACCCACATGTACGGCTCTGGAACGGGATCTCATTTCTATACACATGCAGCTTAAATACGAGAAAGCTTGTGAATCCCTGCAATCTAGTAGTAATCTTAAGATATTCTGCAGAAAACAGTGCGCACTTCATGTTGTACCTTCTGCGAAGAGTTCAGTTTATTTACTGTTAGCGATAGCATCAGTCAATAATAAATCCACATTGTTGTATTCATTATTAATTGGTTTGTATGTTTTCCCCGTATTTGTAACCCGGAATTTAATAGGAATATGAAATATTGATTATCTTCCATGTCAGATATAGTTGCAAAAAGCTAGTTTTGTATTTTTCTTCGGAAAAGGCACAGTTGGCCCGCATAATGTTGTTTTCTTGTCATTAGAATATAAATAACGTTACATGTATTGTGAATCCAAACGGCAGGTGGTTTTATATTTGTGTCGATTCTATTGATATATTGATAAGTTGCCTGTCACGTTTCAATTCTAAAGTGGTTTTCCTGGGATTTATTCTTATTCTTCTCATGATGTTTTAGAAGCATGTTCTGTCTTGGTACATTCTCTCTTTATTGGAAAGCAACAGTTTATTTTTTCAGCTATATCAGACGTTATCCAATGAAGGATGTTTTTATTTCTTAAATGATAGTTTGCAAATACAAATATCATTGAACTTGAAAACTACTTTATTACTTCACAATAATAATGTATCTTTTATTATTTTACGTTGATCATGTAAAAGAATTACGGCTTAAAACATGGAAAAGAAAACAAGAAGTATTCTACTATAACATGTGTCAGGCACATCCAAATAGATATACTAAAAAACTAGAAATACACATCCAAACATAACTCACCATAATTTACTGCCGATCCGTTGATCCATTCATTGACGGCATTTTTCACTTGAAACACAAACCATCCATGAAGATGTGCACTAGTCCGTTTTGCATCTAATAATTTTAATCCACGTGGAGAATTAATATTTTCCGGATCCAAAACTTGGTAAACTTTAATCTACAATAGAAATCATGAAATTCTTATGTACGATACAATCTTATACCTAATGTATAAGTGTTAATCATTACCCATGGTTCTGCTTTTAAGAACATGACATTACCTGAATATGGCATACCATTTCCTGACGGCTGTCGTTAAGAAATCGATGAGTGATTCATTTGTGTATATTTTATCGCCGTTTAAATCATTTGATTGGTGTAGAGCATTCTTTTATTTATATAAATAACTTCTTACCGGGGCCGAGTTATTTATATAAATAACTCTAACACTACCACCTCTACCGGGGCCGTGTCGACTAAAGAAGTTCACTACCACCTCCACTACTACCGGGGCCGTTATATAGAAGTTCACTACCACCTCTCAACACTACCACCTCCACTACCGGGGCCGTGTCGACTAAAGAAGTTCACTACCACCTCCACTACCGGGGCCGTGTCGACTAAAGAAGTTCACTACCACCTCCACTACCGGGGCCGTGTCGACTAAAGAAGTTCACTACCACCTCCACTACCGGGGCCGTGTCGGGGCCGTGTCGACTAAAGAAGTTCACTACCACCTCCACTACCGGGGCCGTGTCGACTAAAGAAGTTTACTACCACCTCTACTATCGGGGCCGAGTCGACAAAAGTTCGGGGCCGTGTCGACTAAAGAAGTTCACTACCACCTCCACTACCGGGGCCGTGTCGACTAAAGAAGTTCACTACCACCTCTACTATCGGGGCCGTGTCGACTAAAGAAGTTCACTACCACCTCCACTACCGGGGCCGTGTCGACTAAAGAAGTTCACTACCACCTCTACTACCGGGGCCGTGTCGACTAAAGAAGTTCACACCTTCACTACCACCTCCACTACGGGGCCGTGTCGACTAAAGAAGTTCCACCTCACCACCTCTACCACCTCTACTATCGGGGCCGAGTCGACAAAAGAAGTTTACTACCACCTCCACTACCGGGGCCGTGTCGACAAAAGAAGTTCACTACCACCTCCACTACCGGGGCCGTGTCGACTAAAGAAGTTTACTACCACCTCTACTATCGGGGCCGAGTCGACCAAAGTTCACTACCACCTCTACTACCGGGGCCGTGTCGACTAAAGAAGTTCACTACCACCTCCACTACCGGGGCCGTGTCGACCAAAGAAGTTCACCGCCATCTCTACTACCAAGGCCGTGTCGACTGAAGAAGTTCACTACCACCTCCACTACCGGGGCCGTGTCAACTAGAGAAGTTCACCGCCACCTCTACTACCGGGGCCGTGTCGACTAAAGAAGTTCACTACTACCTCCACTACTGACTATCCGGATATTGTAAACTTTAAATTTGATTATTCATCCAATAAGACATCAAAATTTTCCAATATTGAAAACGTGTCACCTGAAAAATTGGGTTCAAGATTGCTGACTTGATTTTAAATATACTATAGGACCGTTTATCAACAAAAAGAAAATTCTAACCATTCTAAAAAAATCTGACATCCGAATTCGCTATTCAATGATAGGTGGTAATTTGATGATATATTCAATCTCCTTTGTAAGAGTCGAACCTTTAGGGAAACAAATTGATTTCAGTTTACTTGATATGTCGTGTTTTTAACAATTAGAACGCCAGCTGACATGCTGTTTGCTTAACAATGAATTATGAGAGACGTGATAAAATCTCCCTTGTCAGTCGGCACACGCTCAGAACACATGACTGCGAACTAGTCAACTGCTAGCACTGACTTCCTATTACTATTCTATCTATGATAGTAAACTATTATCTCTTTAGACCGCAGTCTGTGTTGATTATTGTCGTTTCCTCTATCGCAAGGTCAGTCTTGGCATTTCTAGTGTTATATATTTTATTCCAACACAAGTTTGATGACTAGATATAAAAATGAGTCTGGTGATTCCTTGTTGAACGCCAGTATTAGCCCACGTGTAGCATTCAGAATAAAACTTAGTGCGTATTTATTGCACGTGCCGAAACAGACACACATTAATACACTTTTTAACTTGATGTTAATCGCGTCATTGTTTACGTGATCGTTTTAGTGACGTCATCTTGCCGCTTATGTTGCCCAACATTGCCCGGATTGTGTATTTACCTCTATAACGTGTGAAGGCATCTGCTCTCCTTCTGAGGATGGTCGAGGGTTCAGTTTAAATATATGGAATTCAGCAGCTAATAATTTTTCTCCCTCTGATAAGTACGATACATTGTAGTAGAAATGCATCTGTTGGCGCCATTCTGAAAATTAGATAAGAAATAGTTATAAATTACAAATTCTTTCGCACGTGTTATATGTTTTCAATTTTGTCAGTCGTTGTTTAAGGTGTGTACACTATAGACATACTAAAAATCGATATCAATTTAATTTCTTATAAAAACTTACTATTTACCAGAAATGTGTTAAATTTATCGTGAAATGTAGTATTTACCACATATGTGTTATATCTATCTTGAAACGTACTATTTAACAGATAATGTTATATTTATCTTGAAACGTACTATTTACCAGATAACGTTATATTTATCTTGAAACGTACTATTTACCAGATAAACGTGAAACAACTGTATTCTCTTAAAACTGTAAACAAACAATACGCCAGTCACGTGACTAGCGTATAAACAAATACGATTACTCAAAATAAAATTGATTCTTAAAGAAAATAATTGTCTTGAATCAAATATTTATCTGATATTCTTAATAATAATATGTTTATCACATGTAAAGTCGTTTTCTTTAGAAGTGTGTTTATTGTTGTTGACTATAAATCGGAGGGTTTCAGTCACAGGCGAACCACCTATACCTAATGCTATTTCTTCTTTCCCACAATATATGATGAAAACATGAACACCTGTTGAAGCTCAGGTGCGAATGTCGACACGTCGATTGAAAAGACCAGGTACACTTCATATTTGCAATGGAAATTGAATAGAAAGGTAGGAGGTGGGTTACTTAGTAGTATACACTGGGGCATTAGCCTCCTTTGTGTACCCATGTCATAGTGTTAGTGGCTGTATCAACAACTTTTATCAAGACACCTGTGAGATGGACCCTTCACACTCCGATCCATGCTAAACACAACGCCAATGCCCCCCTTTAAATTACGCAAGGCTTTCTGATCATTCATTTTGCATACTAATCGGATATTTTCCGACTGATCTTGCTGAATGTGTTTAAATGAATGGGACATTTTACCTGGTACAAAACCACACAAGTACTTATATTATCATTTAACTTAACTCGACGGACTGGATCCACGTGCGGAAACGATTTGCTCATATCGAAACTCGTTAATTTTTTTACCTTCCCAATTATGTGAAGTGTGTTGGCCACTAATACGACACAGATAAGAGTAGTACAAACACGTTAATGAAACCTTAGGTATCAAGTAATTAAACGTAACTACAACTGGAATGGGACAAAAACGGCCGTAATATGACAAACACTTCCCCTTCATGCATTTTCATTAAAGAGGGAACCTACCACGAAGTACACGTCTGAACTTAACGAGCCAATAACAGGTAGAATGAATTTAACGAATATATGTATTGGTGCCGTGACAAGATAACCTTGGATTACGTGAAAATGGCGACTTTTCAAATACATACAAATGGAAAGTTATTGGAAATAAAAGATAATAGAGTAATAGAATACCCGATAAATGTGCCTGTAAAGACGGGGGTTTTCAACATGAAGAGTTTACAGCGCACCTATTGTCAGTACATATAAGATATATGGCTTGGGTTTCACTTAGCTTTCGTCATTGGAGTGATGTAACATTGTTACTTAATTTTCACTCTCGGCCTCCTCGCTTTCGTCATTAAAGTATGTAACATTGTTACTTAATTTTCACCCTCGGCCTCCTCGCTTTCGTCATTGAAGTGATGTAACATTGTTACTTAATTTTCACCCTCGGCCTCCTCGCTTTAGTCATTGAAGTGATGTAACATTGTTACTAAATTTTCACCCTCAGCCATCTCGCTCCCGTCATTGAAGTGGTGTAACATTGTTACTTAATTTTCACCCTCGGCCTCCTCGCTTTTGTCATTGAAGTATGTAACATTGTTACTTAATTTTCACCCTCAGCCTTCTCGCTCCCGTCATTGAAGTGGTGTAAAATTGTTACTTAATTTTCACCCTCGGCCTCCTCGCTTTCGTCATTGAAGTATGTAACATTGTTACTTAATTTTCACCCTCGGCCTCCTCGCTTTCGTCATTGAAGTGATGTAACATTGTTACTAAATTTTCACCCTCGGCCTCCTCGCTTTCGTCATTGAAGTGATGTAACATTGTTACTAAATTTTCACCCTCGGCCTCCTCGCTTTCGTCATTGAAGTGATGTAACATTGTTACTAAATTTTCACCCTCGGCCTCCTCGCTTTAATCATTGAAGTATGTAACATTGTTACTTAATTTTCACCCGCGGCCTCCTCGCTTTCGTCATTAAAGTATATAACATTGTTACTTAATTTTCACCCTCGGCCTCCTCGCTTTTGTCATTGAAGTATGTAACATTGTTACTTAATTTTCACCCTCAGCCTTCTCGCTCCCGTCATTGAAGTGGTGTAAAATTGTTACTTAATTTTCACCCTCGGCCTCCTCGCTTTCGTCATTGAAGTATGTAACATTGTTACTTAATTTTCACCCTCGGCCTCCTCGCTTTCGTCATTGAAGTGATGTAACATTGTTACTAAATTTTCACCCTCGGCCTCCTCGCTTTCGTCATTGAAGTGATGTAACATTGTTACTAAATTTTCACCCTCGGCCTCCTCGCTTTAGTCATTGAAGTATGTAACATTGTTACTTAATTTTCACCCGCGGCCTCCTCGCTTTCGTCATTAAAGTATATAACATTGTTACTAAATTTTCATCCTCGGCCTCCTCGCTTTCGTCATTGAAGTGATGTAACATTATTACTAAATTTTCATTCTCGGCCTCCTCGCTTTAGTCATTGAAGTGATGTAATATTGTTACTAAATTTTCATCCTCGGCCTCCTCGCTTTCGTCATTGAAGTATGTAACATTGTTACTAAATTTTCACCCTCGGCCTTCTTGCTCCTTTCATTGAAGTGGTGTAACATTGTTACTTAATTTTCACCCTCGGCCTTCTCGCTCCCGTCATTGAAGTGGTGAAACATTGTTACTAAATGTTCACACTCGGCCTCCTCGCTTTAATCATTGAAGTATGTAACATTGTTACTAAATTTTCATTCTCGGCCTCCTCGGTTTCGTCATTGAAGTGATGTAACATTATTACTAAATTTTCATTCTCGGCCTCCTCGCTTTAGTCATTGAAGTGATGTAATATTGTTACTAAATTTTCATCCTCGGCCTCCTCGCTTTCGTCATTGAAGTATGTAACATTGTTACTAAATTTTCACTCTCGGCCTCCTTAGAGTTGTAGACCTGATACAAAAATTGTATGTGCCAACACCACTGCAGATTCCGTGTTTATTTCTACACTTAATGTTTAAATAGCTTTTATTGCCTACAGTGTTAAGCAAGATGAAACCACAAAGATATTTTAAAATGATTTGTTGTCGAAATTGTTCAATAAAGCGGAATTTTTTCTGTGTGAAGGAAGCGCCAGATCTAGTACTGTATACAGTTTAAGTTTCACGAGAAAGAAAGTAAATTGCGAATCTAATACTGCAGCAGAGAGATATTATAGAAGTAAATATACAATGCCAGAATCTCAGCACAGCACGATATTGTGATAGTCTGTATTTAGTGTACAAAAACGGAACGGGTTTGAACTACAGTGGCTGCCCAGACTGCAGTATACACGCTGTATAGACTTCGGTGGATTCACTATAAAGGGGCTGTATAAATCGTTTATGGACCCTTGTAATTGTAAACGGACGGGGGTTGTTCTCTGTGTGATTCTATCCCTAGCACAGTTCAGATATAACGGTTACGTACATGTGGTTTGTAAGTACTAAGAGAAATCTGAAATAATAACTAATTAAAATAGCATTAGATGTCTTTACTACTATCATCAGGCAGTCAGTGTACTGCCAACAATGGTCTAACCTCTTTAGAGCCACACCAAATAATGTTTTAATTGGGAACTTTAACTGGGAGAAGGATTGAAGCACTCCCTTTTTGACTCAGTTTAAAGGATGTTGCCGAGCAATTAACGTAAGATTTGAAACATTCTTTTAACCATTATACCACCGCGCAGTTTTAAGCACTTCTTTTCTCGGCATGTTTTATGAAGAATATAATGTGAATAATTAAGATAATAATAATAATAATTTGGTAATTTCAGCACATCGCATGTTTAAAATCCAATCCATTAGCCACAGGCAGTAATGTAAACTATTGTGGATACTGAAAAACAAATATGAAAGTGGGCACGGAAATGATATAATGCTTACTAGGAAAAAGAGAGATTCAATACAATTATAACATAACTATGGTGTTCATGAAAACACATTTAACAGAACAATCAGCCTATTGTGTGACTTTACTATATGCAAAGCAACATAATAATATCAACCACGTTAACAGTCTCAGTGGGCTTACAGTTAATATCAAGGAACCTATTGTCATTACAACAATTAAAAATTAATAACGTTCGCTAATCAATTTAACATTCTGACGTCCCTTAACTATTAGTGAATTATTTAAGAAAGGAATTTTTATATTTGCACGTGCATATCTTATGAGTCATTACATATTTAAATGCCAAACACAAGTGCGTTATAAAAACCCACAATTGACTTGTTTGAAGTTTATATCATATTTTTTTTATTATTTCTTTATTTCTTCCGAGTTTAAGAGCTACATAGAATAAGAACATGTAAACTTGATGAATAGGTTAGCCTGCGCCTAACCACTCATTCCCATTTCTAAATATTCCACACTTCGAAGCAGTAGAGGAAAACAAACAAAAGAATTGTGGTGTTATACATCATGGAACCGCTTACTGCACGTCATTCTGTGGCACTGTGTGTGTATACTACGATACAGGTAGTTTAGAAGGAACTTAATAGAACTTTCATGCTTATTGAAATAAGGAGGTAATGAAATAAAAGCCAAACTACATATCGACCCCAAAGATAAAAGAAATAGAAACAGGAAGGAAAATGCTTACTTGAGGAGTACTAAATCGGACGATCGGACGATAATCCATACGTTTCATCAAAATCAAACCGACAACATGACAAAATAATTCAATTTTGTAGAAAGACAACAATGAATTATTATTAGTTATACAGAGAACAACGCTTCCGTT